CTTTCCTTGCTGAGTAGTTCCTTGAAGACAGCGAATTAAGAGGCAGCAGAGCCGTGCACAGTAGTGCCTGTCCATGACTTTTTCACAGTTGACAGATTTGCATCGATGCTCTGGCACATCCTAGAAGTATAGTTTTGTGAACTTTTATTTTGGCTCCTGTCTGTGTTCCCTGTGTGCGCAGTTAGTCTGTTTTTTTGCTTTTTTCCAGGGAATATACTGTGGATTTGATGATTGAGCTGCTTGAGGCAATGGAAGACAATTTTAATAACTGTGAAGACAAACGAGCACTGAAAGTCACCTTACACAAAGTAGAAGTAATGCGCCTTTCATATGTTGTTCATGACTATATAAGAAAACGACTTCGAAAGGTTTCTTTTGATTTTTTAAGACTCAGCTTGAGCAGCGAATACTTGATTAGCAAGCTTGTTAGTGATATAGCTCTGGAATCCTTGATTTTACTGAAATACACTTCCAGTCGTCCCGTCCTGTCCTAAGCGTCATACCGCCAGCTTGTGAACACTATGTCCATATTCCAGGGTCCTCGCTGCTTTCTTATTTTCCTTGGCCACGCCATTTTTAATGGCTATACTTTTTATGCGTTTTTTTTTTCTTTTTTTTTTCATCTGTGCAATGCAGAAAACGCATTTTGACAAGAGGTTATCTGTGTGTGCACTGTGCGTCTGTACCGACTTTTTTTTTAATGCAATAGTTCATTTTTACAAATCTCCACCTAAGCATCTTATTGTGCTGTGAAATTGACAGGGGATTAGGCGATTTTTCGCTGACATGCGTGGAGCTAAAGAGTTTTGCATTCCGAAAGCTCCAAGCGTGCTTAAAAAGGAACAGTGCTGCGTTCTGTTCAGCTAATTCTGAGCAATGCGGACCACTGTCAAAGGTGATGATACAGTTTAGACCCTTTAACTGTACAGTAAATATCAATCAAAAGTAAGCAGTTTGTGTAATATTTTCAGATTGAAGATAACGTGGAGGTGTTGCAAAA